TTGCAGTCTATAAAGAAAATCACTATAGTCTGTATCCAGATTAGTTTAGAAGCCACATTCATTTTGGTCAGTTTAAGCAAAATAAAATAAAACTTATCAACATGAAAACAACCTCAAGGGTGATGAGACATTATGATGTTTATCAAAGAAAGATATAGTGGCGCACACAGGAATCAAGTGTGTATCACTTACAATTATATCAAGTGAAAACAAAGATGTTTAAACATAAATTTTGATGACCTCACTTATGAATTTTCATTGATACTGCTATCTGAACATGGGTACAGTATTAGGACAGAGTAGTGGATTGACACACAAAACAAGCAATGGGTGGTGATGTCATGAAAATTGCCACAGAATTTACACTGACTGGCTGCTTAGCATAGGAATAGCAGAATGTAATGGAATTCTAGAGAATATTGAGGGGGAAATTTGGCTTGAAGAAAAGGAAAGTTAAGGACAGACAACAATTTTGCTGAAAGTTAAAGTTTACTTTAATAATGCTGCTGAATTCCCTTAGCTGTGAAGATGTCACATGAACAGCTCATGCATGAAGTTTTACACACTATATCACTGAAATACTTCCTCCCCATTGCACTTACATTACAACATAAAATTTGCATAGTTCATCCACATGTAACCCTCCTCAGATCTCAAAGGCCATAAAATGCAGGCGACTACTTAGGAAACTAACTCCTATCTGCAAGTCAGGGCCGAGACTATGGGGTTACAGGCTCAGCTCCTCAGCTTCCTGCTCCTCTGTATCTCTGGTAAGAGAAATGCTTGTTCTGCTTCATGGCATTTAAGACTTCTAAATCTCAACAAAAGAGTAGATTTTCATTAGGACTTGATACTTTCCATTCTTTCCAAACATGTCTTTTTAATAATCTTTCATATTTCCCTCCATGAACAGATATCAGAGGAGAAACATTACTCACACAGTCTCCAGCATTCTTATCAGCATCTCTAGGAGACAACGTTGCCATCACCTGCAAAGCCAGCAAAGACATTGATGATGATATAATGTGGTACCAACAAAAACCAGGAGAAGCTCCGAAACTCGTTATTAAATATGTTACTACTCTCATCTCTGGGGTTCCATCCCGATACAGTGGCAGTGGGTATGGAATAGATTTCACCCTGACAATTAATAACACTGAATCTGAGGATGCGGCCTATTATGTTTGTCAGCAAGATGATAATCTCCCTCTCACAGTGATATACCCTGTTACCAAAACCTCCCAGTGCTCTCAATGGGATTTCTTTAGCTGCTATCAAAAATGCTCAGTATGTGAAACTACGTGACCCTTGAGTATTTGTGAGCTTCCTAAGACATATGCATACTGACTTTCTATTCTTGCCTTTTCATTTCTGTAATTTCTACTTTCCCTACAGCTGTGCCTGACAGGTTTCATACAGTAGAAGCCTGTCTTCAATCACATTGCCTGTTGTTGTTGTTAAGTGCAATAAGTCTGCTTCAACTCACAGCAATTCTGTATAGGGTTTCTGAGGCTGTAACGGGAACAGAAAGCCTCATCTTTCTCCCAGGGAGCAACTGGTGGGCTTGAACTGCAGACCTTGTGGTTTGAAGTCCAGTACTATAGCATCACAGCACTCATCACATTGCCTGGTGGTGATGGTTATGTGCCGGTTCCGACTCATAGCAACCCAGTACAGGGTTTCTGAGGCTGTAAATCCTTACGGGAGCAAGAAAGCCTCATCTTTCTCCCGTGAAACAGCTGGTAGTTTCTAACTGCTGACCTTGAGGTTAGCAGCCCGATTCGCAAGCACTACGCTATCACATTGCCTAGTGGTGCAAAACTCTCACTTTGAAGCACATATAAGCAGGTTCAGATTCATTCACATGGTCATTCCAACTCTTCCCTAAACACTTTAGTTTTCACCAGGTTCTCTGTAAGTTTTCTCATTCCAATAACATGAAGGAAATCGCAGTAATGCCTATGAGAACAGCATTTACAGTGTGTGGACCCTCACATATGCAGTCTCTTCTTAGATTCCCACAATTGCCCTCTTATCTCCTCTGTTTCCTCCTGTTATAATTACCACTAGAATGTTTTTGCTTATCTTTTTTTTTTTTTAATCAGTTACAAGATCACAGAGTTAAAGGGTTATCCTCTATTAATTGGCCAATGTTTGACTTAGCCCCAGTTCTACTGTTTATGTTTCACCTAAAATCCAAAGTGCTTTTCCATAACCAGGAGGACTATATAAATATTGACGTTGTTAGCTTGCTGTTGAGTTGACTCTAACTCATGCTCATTGCATTTGTGCAGAATAGAACTGCTCCATAGGATTTCAAGGTATGAGTTTTGTGAACAGATCACCAAGCCTTTCATTTGAGGTGCCTCTGGGTGAGTTCAAAGTTCCAATCTTTCAGCAAGTTGGAGCTTCACAGAGGTGAGCACTGTGGTTGTGGGCCACATTAAAGAAGTGAGGAGCTCCCAGCATTGATTCCAAATCTGCTGAGTCAGCCCTGTGCTAACTCTCACTAGGAGAAGCTGCTGAACAGATGCATGGTGGAGAAAAGGAAAACACACACACACACATACACACACACACACACACAAAGAAACTACTGATCTTTGCCGATGGCTACTCCAGGAATGCTGTTGTCATCTTGAACTTCCATAGGAGACTTGGAAGGCAAGAGGTGGCTCGGAGGCATACCACTTATTGGTGTATATAAAGGGGCAAATATTTAATACATTTACATTTTATTTTTGTACCCCACATTAGCCTGGTGGCTAGAGGTGTGGCTGTCCCCCTTTAGCATACACTCTTAAGGAAACTCCTGCTGTCTGGAATGTTGAACTTGCATCAAAGTGTGTGGAGAGCTAGCAGCACCAACTCAGGCACCTAGAGTCAGGCATGTCCTATTTCAGATTCTTAGCTGGTTGCTGGGACATAAGGGTATGGTTAGAGGTGGGAGGGGAAGGTAGAGCACAGGGCAGGGAATAGACACAGGATAGTTTGGGTGTTGGAGGGGGGGGCAATATACAAGAAGGGAGAGGGGAATGGAAGAACAAAGCAGATGGGAGAACAATTAGGCAGGCTTGAATGGGCTAAATGGGACAGAGGTAAAAAAATGATGTAGGCACAACGTTAGAACAACAGGGCTCTGGGATACAGAGATTGAGACATGGTTGGAATGGGGAAAGGTGGGGAATAATGTTAAGATGCATGGTTGTCTTTTGAATCTTGGTTTTCCGTGCAGTATATTATAAAATAGACACTGGAGGGGGAAAGAAAGGAATAGCCAGAAATATCACCATAGAAAGTTTGTAAATCCGTCTTCGGCCTATAACTGATTGGAATACCTAAATTGGGGCTACAATGTGTCCAGTGAAGGAGGTTTCCTGAGGAGCCTCTACATTACATAAGACTAAAGGTAGAAGCCTGAACCACATCCAGACCTTCAGAGATGGGAAATTTTCCACTTGAAAGGATGAGCAGACCAGCCTGGAGCAGCTAGAAAAACAGAAGATACTTCTTGAAAGAAAGACCTACAGGAAAAATACAAAACAATAAAGGCAGTCAGACTGTTACTACAAGAACAAGCAAGTTGCTTGCCCAGGAGACATCAAGGCAAGTGGTCGGGTCCTCTCAGTGCAAATCCTCTTCCAAGACAAAGATGCAATGGGAATACACGCTCTGATTGGTGACCACACACGTCACCCATAAGGGAAAGTGAGGGAAAAACAGCAGTGAAATAGCGAGCTAAGCCCTACATCGTTCAATAGATTCCTGTGAACCCAGGTGGAGACCTGTCGGCCAGCAGTGTGGCAAGACCTGGGGACTCATGGGCTCAGAGTCAGTGATACAGTCACAGAGGACTAGAGTGGAGAGCAAAGTGTCCAGCTTATACGAAGAGAGCGGACAGATGCAAGAACACCCACACTTGCAGATAATATCCACTTGACCTGGCTTCAGACAGGGCAGCATTTTAGTCAAAGAAGCCAAAAAGTTCAAGGCCTGTGTGGTGGCTGCCCCACCGTGTTCTCATGATGAGACAAAAATTCTAATGTCAATTCTACCTACTTTTTTATGGAAAAGATTCTTAAAAGCCAATCTACCTGAAGGTTAATGTTCTATTTGGAAAAATTTCATTACACCTTTATTTCTTCCTTTACTAAATAGGCTATCACCATATAGTACCCTTTTGAGAATCTTGAAATCTTGATTTTTCACTTGCTTCTAATGACCAACAACGTCTCACAATCTAGAAACCTCAGGCTACACATGAGGGTCACTGTGAGATGCTGTCAGACACAAGAAACAGTGGCTATAGTTCTCACAGCCTCTGAAGGGGAGGCAGCTGTGTGCTCGGGGGTGAAGGAGGTTTTTGCTCCAGTCTGTAACATTGTAGATGGATTAATGTACCTTGTCTGACAGTAGTACATTGCAGCATCTTCTGCCTGAATACTGCTGATGGTCAGAGAGTAATCTGTCCCCAAGCCACTGCCACTGAACCGGCCAGGGATCCCAGAGGCCAGGTTGGATATACCATAAATAAGGAGCTTTGGACTGGCTCCTGGCTTCTGTTGGTTCCAGTTTAAGTAACTAGTGCTTACACTTGAGCTGGCCTTCCAGTGGATGGTGACTCCCTCTCCTGGGGAAAATGCCATGGAAGCCGGAGACTAGGTCAGCACAATTTCTCCATTGGATACTATGTTCACAAAGGAAATAGGAAAAGAAAAAGAAGTGAGAAGGAACACAGACACAAGAATGTCTTTCTACCCACCAATAAAGTGATGTGCTATGAGTTAACTAAAAAAAACAAAGAAACCCAAAATCAACCATATAATGCTTATCTTAGAAACATTTACCATGAAAAAATGGTTGTTTCTAAGTGTCATTGAGTAGGTTCAGACCCATAACCACCTTGTATAGGGTTTCTGAGGAGCAGCTGGTGAGCTTAAATTGCTGCCCGTGAAGTTCAGATGGCTTCGCAGTATGGTGTATTAATCCACAGCGCGACACCAGGACACCTGAGAATAAGGATCATAAATTCAGAATATTCTCTCTTATCTGTGATGCAAAAAGATGAAAATTTCATCCTGAAAACCCATAATATTGATTGAGAACTGTCAGAGGCTAAGCAAACCTCTATTTTAGAAAATACCTTTTAAAAGCAATTCTGAGAACTTTGTGGGTTTGGACAGAAGATATGCAGATCAACAGAGTATAGCCCTTGGCTTATAATTCCATGAGGTCATTCTACTAAATTTACAAATTAAGTCACTAGAGAAGGAATGAGTCCTGGTGTGGTGCCCTAGGATAAGCACTGGACTGCTAACCACAAGGTAGGTGGTTCAAACCCACCAGTAACTTCTAGGAAACCCAATACAAGACCAATATGAATGGGAAGTGACTCCAAGTCACTTAACAACAGTAACAAGAGTGACTGTATGCAAATCTCTGTCAGCAAATCCTAACCCCATAGATCCCTTCTTTTACTCTGACAGAGACTTCACTGAGACATTGCCACACACTAGGTTTCCTTAGAAGTCCTGATGTGGTGCTGTGGGTTAATGCGCTAGACTGCAAAGCAGTTTGAACCACAAGGTTGACGGTTCAAGCTCACCAGCTGCTCCTTGGAAATCTTCGCTATGCGTCAGAACCGATGCGATGGCACTAACGAAGATTTCCTCAAGCAGCCTCTGAACTCACAAGACATTGGGAAAACTAACCTCCCAGTGTGTGGATTCAGAACCTAGATTTCCTCAAGGATGGATTGTCAGAAACACTCACAAAAAACACACAGAGCAGAGGATATCGCATCGGAGAACAGAAGTCACCAATCAGGCAGGGTGCAATCAGCATTACTGTATAAAACAGCTTCAGTTTGCTTAGGACACTGCTACATTCTTCTTTTAAAAGGACTCTGGGCCTTGAAGAACGGATATAGAGGCTCATATCAAATAACCAAAATATTGGGGTGGCACTGTAGGATAAGCAATGAACCACAAGGTCAATGGTTCAAACCACCCGCTGCTCTTCAGAAACCCTGTATTGGGTTGTTAAAGTCAGAGCCCACTTGAGGAAACTTAACAACAACAACATCAAAACACTACATTTCATGGTAATGATTGTGTTAGTCAAAATAGGAGTCATGTTCCGCTTCTGAAATGTTTAGGTGGGAGTTCTATTTTTATCTGGAATGATAGAGAAGAGTTTTTTAAAAGTTAAATATGAAATATCAAAGAGTGAGACTTCTTGAACCATAATATTTTAAAAGTTTAAGCAGGTAAAATTTTTCTCCCAGTTACTTTGATTTGTATCCC